GACTGCCACCCTTGGGGGGCCGGTGCTGGCCTGGGTTTGCCTGAGGGATGGGACTGGCATGGGGGGGTGCTCCCTGCAAGCGTGGATTCCCGGGAAGGGGTCCAGGACTGTGGAGGGCTGTGCAGCCCAAGGGGGGCAGCATTGGGGTGGTGAGGGGAGGAAGGTGCTGCGGGACTGGCAGGACTGTGGGTTTGGGTCTGTCCCCACTGCTTTCCCATTGTGGGAAAAACGTCCCTCCGACCATCCCCTTCCCCTCCAGCACAGCTCCTTCCCTCCAATGCTGCCTCTCCCCACATCTCCAGCATCCCTGATCACTGGTGTCTGCACCGAGCCCCAGCCCTGCCCCAAGCCTAGTTGTGGATGTGTGTGGGTGGGCTGAGAGCTGTGAGAATAAAGTGCTCAGGGCTGTTCTGAGGCCCATAATGCATTGCTAAGCTTATTTCTGGAGCACCCAGCATCCCTGGAAAAGGTACGGTCACCTCTGCTGCTCAAGGGCAGATCCTGGAGGCAGGCAGCTGCCCCTTGTACCCTATTGCCCACTTCCCACTCGCCTTCCCCCAAACTGGACCCCACCATCTGCCTGCCCCTCTTCTGCATCTCTCCAGCCCTCGCGACTGTGAACTGGGACCTGTAACCTCCTGGGCCCCCAACCCTTCTCCCCCCTGGGCAGGGATCCAGCCCTGTGCTCGGGCCCGTGGGCTCAGCAACCCACTCACCCAACTGGTGCAGGTCAGCCTTCCTGCAGGAGAAAAAGGCAGGAGGAAAATACCTGTCGGGGTGTTCCCACCGCACCCCATTCCTGCCCAGGTGGCTCCTTTTGTCTCTCCCGAGGGTTTTAAAGCCTGGTGTTTCCCTGCAAGGTTTAGCTGAAGAACTGACCTGCTGGTGCTCCCACATTCATCAGAAGTCATTTATGGGGTGCGACTTGTATTTCTCCCCTGCAACAGCTGATACAAAAATGAGTTGGACATGGTACCAAAGCGACTGGCTTGCAGACATCAAAGTGGCAACCTGCTCGGGCACCATGATGCTCTGCTCACACCCTCACCCCATGCTCACTTATGCCGCTGGTACCCTGAGCAAGAACGTCTTTCTGGCAGCTGCCCCCCAAAGCAAACCCTCCCCTGCCACCTTTCCACAGCCCAGGGTGGTAACAACACGTCAGAAGCAGCTCTGGGAGGGATCTGACCTAGCCCTTGGCATGAAGACAACAGCAGCTGCATCTCAGCATCGCTACCGGAGCCATCTTGCCCGCTTTGCAGCTTGCACACGGTGTCCCACCAGAGTGTTGGTGGGCTGCTACCCATCAGCCTCTCCTTCCTCAGCAGGACCCAGCTCTCCTCCAGCTGCAGGAAATCCCCCTTTGTTTGGGAAGTGGAGAGAGAGAGGGGGTGTGAGCCCAAGGGTTTGCAGTTCCCCAACCCCATGGGGGCCATGGAAAAGGCACACCAAGGGCTCTCACCCCTTGAAACAGTGGGGACTGCAACCACCGCCCCGATGGAGGAGACGGGGCTGTTTGTGCCCAGGAGGCACTATGGCAGCCGTGCCGACGGCAAGCTGTCCCTCCGATCAGTGACTGTGGCTATATTTTAATCTTAATTTGCCAGCAGGTTCTGCTTTGGAAACTGCTCTGTTCATATCCCTTCTCCGATGCTCCCTGCCTTATTCCCCTTCACACAGAGGGACAAATCGGAGCCCTACTTTCTCCCTGGGCTGGCCCGCTTCTATGCAGAGGGAGCAGATGCTTTTTTTAAATAAGTGCCTTTGATGGTTCGCAGGCACCGGAGAGCAGGGCTGGCCTGCTCGCTGCCTCAGATACAGGATGGCAGTGTGGGCACGTGCCCTCTGTGCGTTGCTCACCACCCGGTCGCTCCTCTGGTGCTGTGTGTTCAGGGCGGCACACGGTCGCTGGTCAACGGGAGAGACAAGGCTGGAGCTCGAGCTGGGTTGAAGTCTGTGTGTCCTCATGCAGTTAGTTTCTAACACTCCTCTGGGATGAGCATTTTTTGGAAAGATATCTATTATCCATCCAGCTTAGCGATGGTAAATTTCTCACCTGGATCAGCAGTCCTGCATTTCATCTATTTTTAACTTAATTTTCAATTCTCAACATAATTCCAATGACATAGGTTTGTGTGTGTGCCCTTTATTTTACTGAAACCGTCTCCTTTCTTCCCCAGGAGCTCATACAAAGGCTGCGTTCATCCCTCCCTTGTCCAGTCCTGCCTTTCTGTTGTGCTTCCTAATTGCTGCATAATGCCACATCCTGGTGGAAAAACAAAAACCATCTATTAGAAACGTGAGGATGAGATCTGTTCATTGCAGCTGTCCTTGCAGCTACTGACAGCCCTACAAGTCTGGTCTGGAAATAGATTTGGGAAATTCAGGAGTGCTGGAAATACCCGAAATCTTCCTCTGCAGGTAAAATGCTCCGAGGCTGGAATAATTGATGTGTAGTAAATATTTCTTTTCTGGCAGCCAAAACATGCAGCTAATGTATATGTTTGGCAACTGTGTTTCTGTTGAGTGTTTTGGCAATCTACTCATGTTTACATCCCTTACTCCTCACTTCCTTCCTTTGCAGCGTAGGCATGCTGTAAGCGGCGGGATAGAAACAAGCACTTCTGTCACTTAGCAACCTTTGCTGGCTTTGAGGTGTTGACTTTTTCCTTTCTGGATTTCCCAGCACAAAATGAAACAGCCGTGTAACTCATCGCATGCCTCAGACGTGAGGCTGTAGCCGGCTGGTGATGCTTTGGTCCGGTCCAGCCCGAATCCCTCTCAGAGCATCGCATCCGCGTCCCACTGCTGCTCCAGTGGGTGAGGCAGTGGGAGGTGACGGGTCAGCCCTGGGTTTCGTGACCTTGGGTGGAGGGATGCAGCTGGTCATGTGCAGCCATGGAGGCTCCTGGGCCCAGGGTGACTTTGGGGGCAGGCAGCTGGCAGGACGGTGACGCTATGATGCAGGCAGCGGTGGGGTGCCACACATATACCCCGCAGGTGTCACAGCCCAGATCCCTGCTCTGCAGAAGGTCTGGAAGTGGCTGGGCTCTGGGGAAGAGGGTAGAGGTGGTACGAGGGACATACTGTCACCAGGTGAAAGTACGTCAAGCAGCTGGCAGAGATTTTGCAGTAATAAAAGCTGCAGGGGCTGAGTGCTGAGGCTGATTCTGTCCAGCTGGGAAGAGCTCTGCTGGGGTGAGCCTGGTCCTGCTGGCTGGGGATGCTGCTGCTGCCCGGGCATGGCAGGGTCACGGCGCAGCAAGGGCTGCAACAGCCACGTCCCGGAGGGTGGAAGTGCCTGGGAAACGTTTTGTCCATGAAATCTTCCCTTGGGGAAGCACTTGGTGTGCCTGGCTTTGTGACCAAGGAAGCAGGCGTGCTGCCAGGCTGCAGCAAGGGAGCACGGCTTTTCCCTGGGGTGCTCAGGGCTGCAGGGAAACATCTCTGTGGGCTGCGGAGTAGCACGGTGGCCTTTTTCTACCCTGCAACTAGATGCACCTGACCAAAGGATGCAGCTGGAGGTCACAGGGCCACCATGCTGGACGGGACAGGGATTGGGGTGTCACTATCCTGGGACCTGTGAGTTGGCAGAGCCACCGGCTGCAGGGGAGAGACAGAAAGTGCCTCCTCTTTACAGGGGGAAATGCTGCAGACGCTACTTTAATCACAGCTCTGCAGCCGCTCTGGCTTTCTTTTACTGTCTTTAATTCTATGTTTTGCAGCTTCAAGGTCTGAGTTCTCCCCCTGGCAGATACGCAGGCATAATGCTGACCGGCACCTTCGTGCCAGCACTGCGGAGCCAGGTGCTGCTGAGAACCTGTGCCCGGGGCTCCTTGCCCACACCTCCTCCTGCTTTGTGCCCATCAGCTGCCTGAAAAGCTCTGCAGGTCTCTGGGTTTGTATCTGAAGCAAGAAGGAGGTGAGAAATGTCCCTGGAGAGAAGATCATGTGTGGAGTTTGCCTCTTCTAAATGCTTCGTGAAGGGAGGACGCAGCCTCGTCTGTGCTCCGCTCCCCGTGGGCTCCTGGCAGGGGAGCGTGCCTGGCTCTTTGCTGCAGGCATCTGCAGCTCTGGTAGTTTATATATAACCCATTTTTCATGAAGGGAATTGCACCGATGTGGGTTTATAAGGCAGCCTGGGGACCTGATCCAAATGTCCTCAGTTTTAACATCATGCTGCCTAGTTAGGAAGAAGTGTCTGCGGGTAAGTTTGTGGGCTCAAATGCTACGGCTGCACCCTGAAGCCAGACTATTTTTGCCGTATACTTTTCTGGAAATCAAGGCAGGACAAACTTGCTGTATGTAGGCCTGATCTGGAATGCACTGGAGGCTTTGGCAGGGCAGGGAGCCCCAGGCAGGATAGGACGTGCTGGAGCTGGTGACATCTGGAAGTGAGCAGCCCATGCTGACAGATTCGGTGGGGCCAGCGTGCCACCCTGGGGAGCAGAGCACCCTTCCTGCCATGCCGGGGAGAGGTGGTCGGTGAAGGTCTTCTGTCTTTGCCAAGCCTGGCATGTGGCAAAAGGAAATTATAAATATTGAGGGGTACAACTGAGCGCAGGGTGAAAATAGAGTGTGTTTAGCTGGCTAACCAGTGAGTAACGCAGCTCTGGGCTTATGGAGATCGCACCCAGTGCTCCCCAGGAAAACAGTTTCTTGAATGGCCCTCTGATGTTGGTTTGGGTCTTGTCTTTTTTTTTTTTTTTTTTTTAAGGGGTATTCATTACAAGAAGCTTTACAATGGTCTCTGCTAGTACTACCCCTGTTTCCCT